CCTGGGAGCAGGGCTCAGTTGCTGTGTTGTGAGTGAGGTTCACCCCCAACAATTGGAAACCCACTTCCAGCGGCTCTTGGGTTAGAACAGAAGAGCCTGAGCAGGTCCTGGACCTGCAGCTCATGGACCTGCAACGCACCAGCTGTGCCCTCCCTGCGTTGGGCTGTGGGCACATTCAGTTTCTTTAGGTCTCTGGAGACCCAGAGATGGTCACATGTGATGAGACTCCTCCTTCTATGGCTAATGTGGAGCTTGGACTGCCACTCATGCCCAAGCCGCTTGCTGCACACTGTCTTGTAAGAGCAGCCTCAGATGGGCTCGTGCTGCCTTGAGCACTGGCCCCTCAGGCCTCCGGGTGTGTGCCAGAGCAGGTCTAGGAGAGTGCCCAGCAAAGCCATTACAGGAGCCACAGAGTGGGCAGTACTCCATGTGGTTTGTGTCCATTGCTCCCTGCCTCCTGTCTTTGTTCTTCTAGGATCTCAACAGTGACCAGTTTTGGGGCAGATGACAATAGATAGCCTCATGTGGGAAGAAGGGGATGTAAATAGCCCTTGATACCAGATCCCCTTCTTTGAAGGAATTGATTTTTTTTGGGGGGGTGGGGGTTGAGACAGAGTCTCACTGTGTAGCCCAGGCTGGCCTTTGCCTCAGCCTCCTGAGTGCTGAAATTATAGGCATGGATCACAATGCCCAGGCTGGGGTGTTTTGGTTTTTTTGGTAGACATTTCAGCACAGTCACATTTGCTAAATGTAAAGTAGTAATAGCAAAAGAAACCAGCATTTACTTTGCATCTTCTGTAAGGCAGCATGAGAAAGGTCCTCTGATACCTGAAGGCCCACATTCTTAGCCCATTTTGCAGATAAAGATAGTGAAGTTCAGAAGGGTAGTTCAGAAGTAATGTAACCTGCTCTTGCCATTTACAAAGCTAACATTTTCCCTCATGCTTTGGATATTACTGTTTTATCTTCTGTGTAGGTAAGGAAACCAAAGCGCAAAGAGCTCTGGTAGCTTCTCAAACACTGATAAAAACAGGTGTGTTGGTATATGCCCGTAATCCCAGTATCAAAGAGGCTGAGGCAGAAGGACCTTGGGAGTTTGGGACTGGCCAAGGCTACACAGTGAGTTCAAGACCAGGCTGAGCTGCATAATGAGACCATGTCTCAAAAAGACAAAAAAAAAAAACAAAAAAAAAACCCGTCTAGTTTTCTAAGTTAGCCAGTGACTACATCCTAGATTAAGAGGCAAAAGGTCCCCCATGTCCCTCCACCTAACTGCTGAAGTCCAGAGTGCTACATTTTAGTGGAGGGTCATAAAGTGAGAACCAAGTCACTGTTCATGTTGTCATGTGGTTGCACGTGTGCTTTAGGACAGTTGTGACTGGATTTCTGAGAGTTTTGGTGTGCATCTGGGGAGCCGTGCTCTCTAGTACCATTTCCTGTCCCTGTTGATGACCCAAGTGAACATCCGGGCACCACTCCTCAGACTGCCGCAGAAGGTGGCAGAAAGCTTCAGCCTGGCTTTTCCTTTGGAAAACCCAGTCCTGGACAAGCAACAGTGTTCATTCGTTACTTACTTGAAGTGTCCTGCAAGTCCAGCCAGCCACAGGGTTTCCCAGGTGGTGTAGAACACTGGATGTTTGGTACCCACTGCCTCTCACCAACATCTGACCTTGGTCAGTTTCTGAGTGCCTAGCACAAAGGCCTCTGCTTCCTTCCATTGTCTCAGTGCTCTGCCTGTTGGAGTATGTGTCCAACTAGAAGCCAGTGAATGAGTGTGGAGTATTTAAAGGACAGAACCCCACTTCCACCTTGCGGGACACCACCATGCACCTTCCTACAACCTGGCTGTGGGGCCTTGCATACCACATTGAGGGGCTCTTGAGTTCCTGCAAATCTCCCTTATGTGCCTTCTCTACCACATGCACAGCCAACCCTCCCCAGCCTCTGCCTCCACCACTAGGGATCCAGCTTAGTGATGCTCTATGTGACCCCAGCTTCACCAGAAAAGGAGCCAGGGGGACACAGTGTGACCCAGGTTGCTGGCTAAACCTGTTCTTATGGCCCAGACTTTAGCAGAGGGCAGCCTTAGTAAGTCCATCTGAGCATGGCTTTCCAACTAAGATGTTTTGCTGATAGTAAATGAAAATACTGTCCCAGTGATGACCAGGAAGACAACCAGGAAATATGAGATACCAGAGGCCTCTATTGGCTTCTAGCAAATGTCCTGAATTGCCAGCCCCTGGGCTGCTGAGGAGCACAAGGCTATCTTGAGCTTAAGGCCTCTGCCCTCTTCAGAGCCCTGAAGGGTTCTGCGTGTGTAGTGGGCGGGACTGGTGGCACAAGTGACTGGTAATTCCAGCTCTTTAGGAGGTAGTTGCAGGCAAATGATTATTCCTTTTCGAAAGACTTGAAATTATTTCCTATTTCAGTTTTTCCTTTCAAAAAAATAAGAAATGCACTCATGAGGTTCACATTTTGGGAAAGCATAAGACTGATCAGCAAGATTTCCAGCCTGGTAGCCAAGGGTTTCCAACGGCAAGGACTAACAACAGCCCAAGCCCCTGGCTCTTTGTTACCAGAAGTGAGGGCACAGTGTTCTGAAAGAGACACTGCCAACTGTGGCAGCTGGCCTCAGGCCAGGAGCCCTGCCTTCCTCTCCAGGGAGCAGGGGCCTCACCCAGCACCCCAGCATCTGCTGCTGGGCCTGCCTGTATGTTTGGGCTTTTTTTTTTTGGTGGAACTGGGGATTAAACTCAGGCCCTTGCACTTGCCGGGGAAGCACTTATTCCACTGAGCCATCTCCCCAGCCCTTTGTTTGGGCTTTTAAGTTATGATCTGATTCCCACTTCCAGGGTGTAAGCCCAGCATGGGGCTCATGACCTCCAGTGCAGGGTCTCCTCTCCCAGAAACAGTGCAGCTCTGAACCTCTCAGTACATAACTATGAAAAGGGAGGCAGAGGTGGTGTCTTATAGCCTAACTTTGGGAACCAAGAGAACAGGAGATAGCGTGGAGAATAGGAAGGGAGGAAAGCAGAGCTAAGAGTTCAAGGAGATGAAACTGCTCCTAGTGGAGGCACTTGGCTTGGGAGGGATGCACAGTTTAGATGTGGAGGTATTAGCCTCAGTCTCTTGGGTATCTGGGGGCTGATCGGGGTTAGCATCTGGGTGAGCACCCAAGGAAACTGCATCTATCGCAGATGCTGAGAGTGGTGGTGAGTGCTATGACCAGGGGACAAGAGTGCCTAAGGCCATGCCTGCTTCTGTCTGTGGGCTGGGGAAAGAAACATGTCACCATAGCAGTTAAAGTCACCTATAGTGGGGCTGGGGAGATTGCTCAGTAGAATAAGCGCTTCTGTGGCAAGCGCAAGGGTCTGAGTTCAATCCCAGTTCCGCCAAAAAAAAAAAAAAAAAAAGGGTCATCTGCAGTAGGGGCAGGAAGAGAAAACCCTTGTCAGACTTGCAGCGCCCTGCCAATCTCAGGTAAGCATAGAGATCCAAGGGTAGCAGGGACAGTGGGCAGGAGTGTGGTTGGCCACCAGCCGACTGAGCACATAGCTAGAGCCTGCTGGAGATGAGCCCCTCAGACCCCAGGAGCTGCTCAAAGGTAATGGGAACTGAGAAGGTCGGTGGCTAAGTCAACTGCCGTCCCAGGAAGTGGTGGGAAGGCAGCATCTCTTGCTCTGGAGAAACGAGGACAACCAACAATGAGTGGAGCCAGCGGTCCTGGCCTATTCCCCTTGGTGAAGTCTTGTGGCCAGAAGTTCTGTGCAGAGCTCTTGGGGAGGTGGCAGAGGCCTGCGGAAGTGAAGCTTCCTATCCAGTGAAGTGTTCTGAGTCAGAAGAGCAAGCCTATGATTGGTAAAACCAGAAGTGTGTGGAGGAGGAGACCTTGAAACTTCTTTCCCCTGTGATAGAAGGACCTGTGTGATGAGCTGTCCTTCCTGGGTGAGCACCCAAGGAAACTGCATCTATCGCAGATGCTGAGAGTGGTGGTGAGTGCTATGACCAGGGGACAAGAGTGCCTAAGGCCATGCCTGCCTCTGTCTGTGGGCTGGGGCATCCTGTCGGAACTCCATCTTTCCTTTGGGAAATGAGGCCTTGCCCTTGTCCCAAGCAAACCTTCCAGTGCCGACTCAGGGCTGTCTCCCCAAACCTTAGCTTCCCAGGCCTGGGCCATAGGGGGACCGAGGGGCATACAGGCAGTTGCCCTCTGCAAGCTTGTGAGCTAGTGATACAGCGGAACAACAGGAGGGAAGCTAGGTGCTGTTTTCAGAGATGCACCCAGCAGTTCCCAAACCAAGCTGAGGTTCGCAGTGCAGATGCTCCCTGAGTTAGGAAAAGCGTAGGTCCTGATAAAGCTATCCTGAATTGAAAATGAGGGCTGGCCAGATAGCTCAGCAGACTAAAGTGCCTGCTTAGGTAGAGCTCAGTGGCCAGGGTTCTATCGTGGTGTTCTGTGTCAGCCCTGCCCCCCAGGTGTGCTGATACAGGGATTGAAACGGCATGGTGGCGTGAGAGCCTGTAATCCCAGCACTTGGCAGGCTGAAAACAGGAGGATTGCTACAAGTCAGATCTACGTAGTGAGACCTGAAGACCTTGTACTAAACACATAAAAAAAAAAAAAAAAAAAAACAGCACAGATAGGCAAAACAGTGCACCAGTGCCCCCCCCCATGCTGTTTCTCCCGGTAATTGACCCAAGCTGCTCACCACTGCAGCCCGACAGCACGAGAGGATCCTGCTGCATGTGACCAGCTCAGAGCCACAGTTGGAGAACAGTCCCTACTGACTGCCCTGCCTGTGCACTGTAGCAGAAGATTGCAAGCTCAGGCCATTTCCCAACCTGCACTAATCTAAAAGGCACTGACCAGTCAGGGTGGAGGGACCAGGCTTG